ATCTATACTAATAATAGACAAATATGTAAATTTACCATCCCTCCATGATGCCCACAGCCAATCAGGAGTGAGTATGCAAATTAACCCAACAAAGATGGCGGGCCTGTGGCCAGTGCACATGCACGCCAGCGCCGAGCAGCTGGGGTCCCAGGGACGCCACTGGAGTGTCCGGTCCTGTCAGCCCAGCCTGGGGGCAGCTGGAGTTCCCAGTCATTTTGGTTTCTGCAGCCCATGGCCCAGAAGCTGAAACCAAGAGCCCGGGGAACACCAGGAATGCTGGGAATTGTAGTTCTGGTGGCAGATGTGTTGTGGGATCTCCTAGACACTAGAACAAAGTGAACCTGGAGCAAGGTACTGTTGTGGGTGGAGAATGGAGAGAAAGCAAAGGTGAGAGACATAAGTAAAGTCAAAGTGTCGAGACAAAATTAAAAGGAAGAGAAAAATCAACCAAAAAAATGAGTTCACATGTCACCTCTGATACGCATGTTATAGGTTCGCCATATCTGTCCTAGACACTAGAGCAGAGTGAGCCTGAAGCAAGTTACTGTTGCAGGTAGGGGATGGAGGGAAAGCAAAGGTGAGAGACATAAGTAAAGTCAGAGTGTTGAGGAAAAATTAAAAGGAAGATATCCTGCAACTTCTAGGAAATCTCCATCAATGGAGCAAAGAAAAAAGAAGACCTCTATTCCTGCAACTTCTAGGAAATCTCCACCAATGGAGCAAAGAAAAAAAAAACAGACCTCTATTATTCTGTGAGCACCAAACCAAACTGGGTTGGGGTCTCAGACAACTTGCTCATATGATTTCGAAGACAGACAGAAACTCCTGGATTGGAGAGGGCTCCCCTGAGGGCTCCCAGTTTGGAGAGGGTGCAGGTCGGGCTGAGGGACCCAGCCCCTATGCACAAATTTCGTGCACCGGGCCCCTAGTAGTCTTATAAAGCTGAGAGATTCTGAAAGTTCCAGATGTAGAGCAGGAAAGTTATGTATGTGTTGTAATTTTCTATACTGTTTTAATCTAAATTTAATAGTAAAAGCTTATTATCTGCAAAGTGATCATACCTCATTAATAGTGATATCATGTATTATTACTTTTTCTGGCAGAGCTATTTCACACTTCCCTATCCATAAGTGGTCTTCCTTAGACTAGCTACATCCTCATTCTGCATTCTTCTCTTTCCCTTCTCTTTATAACTAAACTTTTTGAGAATAGTTTGAACAGTAACATATATACCTAAAATAAGGCAATGTAGGACCTTGTTGTTCTCATTGAAATCTTAAGCAATCCCAATATGAAAACCAGATAAAAGTGGAGCTCCTTTGCTTAAAGGGTGAAAGAGGAGCTGTACCCACAAGTCTACCCTTTTGTTCTTTCCTCACTCCTGCCCTGAGGCACCACTATTGAACACTGGGGTTAAAAATTGTAATTGATTTCAGCTTTTAAAGCTTACTCTGGCGTTGATTATTCTTGCTTTGCTCCTTTCTAACTTCTTGTTTTATACCTCTCTAAAAAGGCACTAACCACTACCACAAAGGAATTATATTATATACTCATTAGTTTGGTTTGCTAATATCTTTTCCTCTCCTGGAATGTAGACACCCTGTGGAAGGGGTCATCTGTCTTGTTTACTGTTGTTTCTTCCGGGCCTGAAAGAGTCCTGGACAAGTAGGTGCTCAGTATTAGTTTGGTTTGCTAATATCTGTTCCACTCCTGGAATGTAGACACCCTGTGGAAAGGGATCATCTGTCTTGTTTACTGCTGTTTCCTCCGGGCCTGAAAGAGTCCTGGACAAGTAGGTGCTCAGTAATTATTTGTTAATGAACTCAAGAAATAATGGTACTTGAATGAATATGGCTTCCACCTACTTCTACTAAAATAGCTCTCAGGGGTCCCCAGCGAACTCTTGGTCACCGTTCTCTGTGACTGGAGAATACTCGCAGAAGAGTGATTACCCCTTTTTGAAACTCTCCTCTGGAACTTCAGTGCCTTTGCATTTCCTTAGGTCTGCACCTTCTCGTCCTTGTTGGAGTCTCTTCTGCCTTCTGCTCTTTAAATTAGGTGATTCTCTGGGAGCAAAATAAGTACAGGAATTTTTTAGTTGGAAAGGAAAAGGTGAAGGGCACTAGCCAAGGGGAAGGAGATGCGTCTACTTAGGAAATGATGAATAGACCTATTTGAGCAGAGGAATGAGTAAGTAGTGCATGGATATTTTTTCTACAAGAGAGTGACATGATTGGCATTTAGAGAGTCTGGTAGCTATGATTACAACATAATGGAATGTCTTATTGTAGTAACTCATCTTCCCACTTCAGGGATAGCGGTTGACCATTGACGTTCATTGCTGCTGGAATACAGTTCCAAAGGCCAGCTTCGGTCGCATCACTCCTCAACTCAGAAACCTTCAGCAGCTTCCTATTGTCCTCTAAATCGAGAGTAAATTTCCCCCAGTGTTCACGGTCCCACCCTACAAGGATCCAATCTGAATATTTTGTTCTCACTCATTATACACACTGTTCATGATAGCCAAAGTCTTTGGAATTTGTGCTTTGCTGATAATTTCCTCTGTGTATCAAAATTATGCCCATCCTTCAATAGTTATCTTGAATATTGTTTATGAAATCTCTCCCGGCTCTCACAATTACATATACTTTCCTTGCTCTTTGATATTACCAAGCAGTCTGTACTTCTAAGTCATTTACATGCTTGTGTGTAGCCTTTCCTGTAACTCTGGGCTTCTTTAGGAAAGGGCCTGTGACATATAAACACATGCCTATTCCCTTTCACTTGTTCAGTCTGTAGAGTGCAGTACCTGCAGTAGGAACTCGATAAATATTTGCTAAATTGAATTATCAAAATGATTTATTGGATTTTTCAAAACTAAGAATCATGAGTTTGACCATTTTTTATATCCTTTGAGCTCTAATCATACTATTATGTGTTGACATGTGCTTGATAAATATTTATTGAATTGAACTGAGATGTGTGTACTACAGCTCAGTCTGTAGTTTGTCCAACTTGTTTGAAGCATTAGAAAAAAATCAATATCCAATTACAACAGTAAATCATGTGTAAAGTTGTCAGGGAGTGTTATAATGACACCTTTCTCCCCCTTTCTATCTAGGGAGCAGTAATGAATGAAATGGAAACAGCGCTTGTTGGAAGTGACAAATATGCTGCAAGATTTGGGGAATCTATAGTTAATCTTGGTGACATCGATAATGATGGCTTTGAAGGTAAGTAAAAGTATCCAATTTAGTATTTGATTTCCACTTTTAAAATGGTACATGGAAGAAAATATGATTGGAGTTTTATGTTGTTTGTCTTTCTATAGAAAATGGGGCCAGAATGTATGCTCTTTTTTTCTTTTTTTAGTCACACCTGAATTCTTCTTAGTTGTCAGCTATTGATTCTTACTGTTGTTATATGCCCTTGGTTCTGAGGCACCATTGGTTATGAGTGGCATTTTTTGTGCCCCTAAAAATATGCTGTTAAATTGTGACCCACCATTTTTCTATTCTAAAAAGGATTCTGATTTCAGAAATGTTAAAATGTGGAGAAAATGTATGTCATAGATTCATTGGACCCTATTCTTTCACTATTGTTACAATAAAGACTCTGACAAAACCCAGTGGAGGCTGGCTGCAGAGCTGGCGCAGGGTTCTGGAAGCCCCTGCTATACCAGGAGTTCCTTGTTCAGCTGTAGCATTGTGGGAGGATCTGAGGGATCCCATGATTGAGTCCTGAGCAGTGGTGAGGGTGCAACTAGCAGACTCAAGAATAGTGGCTATATATCAACTGATACAGGACAATTTCAATAGTGGAATAGATGTTACCATTGTATCTGTGCCTCTTGCCTAGATATCAGCCCAGCTGCTGAAGTACTTGTTTCTACCAGCCTTCCCTCTTAAAATTTGTTTTTTCCAATCTAGCCCTGAGTGATTACCAAGTCTGTTAAAACTGGGCATAAAATGATGAATAGGCCCTAGCCAGTTCGGCTCAGTGGATAGAGCATCGGCCTGTGGACTGGAGGGTCCCAGGTTCGATTCCTGCAAAGGGCACATGCCTGGGTTGTGGGCTCGATCCCCAGTAGGGGGCGTGTAGGAGGCAGCCAATCAATGATTCTCTCTCATCATTGATGTTTCTATCTTTCCCTCTCCTTCCTCTCTGAAATCAATAAAGAAATATAAAAATAAATAAATAAATAAAATGATCAATAGGTTTGAGAGAATGTGTGTGATTCATGGAGTTCAGCAAATAAGTGTTTGATATTTATTTTCAGAGCTAGAATTGTGTCTTCTTGATATAGTCATTGATGATTGGTATATGGAAATATTCAGTCAAAATTTATATGGATATCAAAAATTAGTGGAGTACTGTAAATTCTCACTTCCTTAATTTCTTTTTATGCCTAAGTGCTTCCTTCTTTCTACTTTAGATGTCTAAAGTGTTACTCTGCAAGGAGAAAGTTAGTGGATTGTTGAACATATGCTTTTAATGAGCCCCATTAAATGTAAGATAGTGTAATTTTGTATACAAACATTACCATTTCTGGAATTTTTTTACTATATTAAAAACAAAAGGATAGATATTTTTATGATTATGATTATACAAATAACATTTTACATTAAAGAGTTTATAAAATTCTATGATAGATATTCTGAGTTAATTTTTGTGTATGGTATAAGGTAGTGGTCTAGTTTCATTCTTTTGCATGTAGCTGTCCAGTTTTCCCATCACCATTTATTACTGTTTCTCCATTGTATATTCTTAAATGAATTGACTATATATTTTTTTTCTGGGATCTCTCTTCTGTTCCAATGATCTATATGTCTATTTTTATGCCCCTATCATGCTGTTTTGATTAGTATAGCTTTGTAATACAGTTTGAAATCAGGGAATGTGATGTCTCTGGCTTTGTTTTTCTTAAGATTGCTGTGGCTATTCAGGGCCTTTTGTGGTTCAATACAAATTTTAGGATTTTTTTTCTAATTCTGTGAATAATGCCCCTGGAGTTTTGATAGGGATTGCAATAATTTGTAGATTGCTTTCAGTAATATGGACATTTTAACAATATTAATTCTTTCAATTCATGAACATGAAGAACCTTTCCATTTATTTTTGTCTTCATTTTTTTATTAATGTCTTAAAGTTTTCAGTGTATAGGTCTTTCACCTCTTTAGTTTAATTTATTTCTAAGTATTTGATTCTTTTTGGTGCAGTTGTAAATAAGATTATTTTCTTAGTTACTCTTTCTAATAGTTTGTTAGGGTATAGAAACACAACAGATTTTTGTATATTGATTTTGTACCCTGCAACATTACTGCAATTTTTTATTAGTTCTAACAGGTTTTTTGGTGAAGTCTTTAGGGCAGGGGACCTCAAACTTTTTAAACAGGGGGCTAGTTCACTGTCCCCCAGACCGTTGGAGGGCCGGACTATAGTTAAAAAAAAACAACTATGAACAAATTCCTATGCACACTGCACATATCTTATTTTGAAGTAAAAAAACAAACGGGAACAAATACAATATTTGTATTTGCATGTGGCCCGCGGGCCGTAGTTTGAGGACCCCTGCTTTAGGGTTTTCTACAAATAAAATCATGTAATGGGCAAACTGTGACAGTTCTACTTCTCCCTGTCCAACTTGAATGCCTTTCGTTTTTCTTTTATGTACCTAATTGTTCTGGCTAGGACTTTAATAGTATGTGGAATAAAAGTGGTGAAAGTGGGCATTCTTGAATTGTTCCTAATAATAGATGAAAAGGTTTGAGGCTTGTTGTACATGGCCTTTATGATGTTGAGGTATGTTCCTTCTAGACCCATTTTGCTGAGCATTTTTGTCACAAATGTTTGGTAAACTTGGTCAAATGCTTTTTTTTTGCATCTATTGTGATGATGATTTTTATCTTTGCTTTTATTAGTGTGGTGTATCATGTTGATTGATTTGTGAATGTTGAACCATCCTTGCATCCCTGAAATAAATCCAATGTGGTCAGAATGTGTGATCCTTTTAATGTACAATTGAATTTGGTTTGCTATATTTTACAAAGGATTTGCAGAGGATTTCTGTGTACCTCAGGGATATTGGCCTGTACTTTTCTCTTTTTGTGTTCTGTTTTAAAAACATATATTTTTATTGATTTCAGAGGTGAAAGGAGAGGAAGAGAGTGACAAACATCAATGATGAGAGAGAATCATTGATCGGCCAACTCCTGCACACGCCCCCCCACTGGGGATCGAGCCCACATGTGCCCTTGACTGGAATTGAATCTGGGACCCCCCAGTCCGCAGGCCAACACTTTATCCACTGAGCCAAACCAGCCAGGGCTTTTTGTGGTGTTCTTGTCTGCTTTTGGTATCAGGATACTTCGGGTCTCATTACACGAGTTTGGCAGCCCTTCCTCCTTTTCAATTTTTTGAAGGCGTTGAGAAGGATAGGTATTAAATCTTAATGTTTGGGCCCTAACCAGTTTGGCTCAGTGGATAGAGCGTCAGCCTGCGGACTGAAGGGTCCCAGGTTCGATTCCGGCCAGGGGCATGTACCTTGGTTGCGGGCACATCCCCAGTAGGAAGTGTGCAGGAGGCAGCTGATCAGTGTTTCTCTCTCATCAATGTTTCTAACTCTCTATCCCTCTCCATTCCTCTCTGTGAAAAATCAATACAATATATATTTTTTAAAAATCTTAATGTTTGGTAGAATCCACCAGTGAAGTCATCGAGTTCTAGGCTTGTGTTTCTTGGGAGATTTTCAATTACCAATTCAGTCTATTCAGGTTTACTATTTTTCATGTTCAATCTTAGATGAGTATATGTTTCCAGGAATTTATCCATTTCTTCCAAGTTGTCCAACTTGTTGGCATATAATTATTCATAGTAATCTTTTATGATTCCTTTTATTTCTTTGTTGACCTCATTGGTTAAGTAACATGTTGTTTAATTTCCATATATTTGTAATTTTTCCAGTTTTCTTCTTATAATTGATTTCTAGGACTTTAATGTCATTTCTAGTTTTATACCATTGTGGTCAGAAAAGATGTTAGGTATGATTTCAATCTTCTTAAATTTATTAAGACTTGCTTTGTGGCTTAACTATCTGCACTGGAGAATGTTCCATTTGTACTTCACTAGAATCTGTATTCTGCTGTTCTTGGATGGAATGTTCTATATATATTTATTAAATCTATCAGGTTTAAGGTGTTATTTAACGCCCATGTTTCTTATTGATTTTCTGTCTGGAAATCATTGATGTAAGTGGGGTATTCTAGTTTCCTATTATTATAGTATGCTATCAATTTCTCCCTTTAAGTCTGTTAATATTTGTTTTATATATTAAGGTGCTTCTATGTTTGCTTCAAAAATATTTGCAAGTATTACCTACTTTTGAATTTACTCATGTATCAGTATGTAATTATCTTTTCTGTGTTTTATTACGATCTTTGTTTTAAAGTCTGTTTTGTCTTATATAGATACAGCTACTCCAGCTTTCTTTTGGTTTCCATTTACATGGAATATCTTTTTCCATTCCTTCACTTTCAGTCTGTGTGTGTTCTTACATCTGATTAAGTCTCTAGTAGGCAACATATAGATGGGTCTTGTTTTTGTTTATTTGTTTGTCTTCAATCCACTGAGCCACTCTTTTGGTTGAAGATGTTAGTCCATTTACATTTTAAGTAGTTGTTGGTAAGTACGTACTAATTACCATTTTGTTGTTTTGTAGTTCCTCGCTTCTTGTTTTTTTCCCTTGTGGTTTGATGACTTTCTTTAGTGTTATGTTTAGATTCCTTTCTCATTGTCTTTTGTATATCTACCATCAGTTTTTGCTTTGTAGTTATGAAGAGGCTCATAAATAACAGTATATTGATTTACAAAACAGTCTACTTTAAGTTGACATCAACTTAAATTTGAATGAATTTTAAAACTCTACATTTTTACTCCCCTTTCCCACATTTTATATTTTTTGTAACAACTTACATTATTCATTTTGTTTATTCCTTAACTAATCACTGTAGTTGTAGTTATTTTTACTACTTCTGTCTTTTAACCTTTATACTATCTTTGTAAGTGCTTAATCCACTACCTTAGCTATATGTTTACTTTTACTGGTGAGATTTATACTTTCATGTTTTCTTATTACTAATTAGTTCTCTTTTTTGTTTTAAGTAAGTCCCTTTAGCATTTTTCATACTGTATTCCAAACATTTGCCAGGAGCTGACAGTACAGGGCAGTATTTTTTTCAGCAGAAATTTAGTAGGTGCTCAATAGTTGCCCACTGAATGAACAAATGAATGGGTGTATTTGTGTATGAAAATTTAAAATACTTTGTACAATTCAAGGAGGGTAACCTTAGCAGGTCAAAACAAAATAAAGTATAAGATATATCAACCAGTTATTTTTATATGAAAATAGAAAAGCTTTTGCAGTTTTAAAACTGCACAGTATTTGGTCTAAAGCAGCGGTTCTCAACCTGGGGGTCACGCCCCCTTGGGGGTCGAACGACCCTTTCACAGGGGTCGCCTAAGACCATCGGAAAACACATATATAATTACATATTGTTTTTGTGATTAATCACTATGCTTTAATTATGTTCAATTTGTAACAATGAAATTGGGGGTCACCACAACATGAGGAACTGTATTAAAGGGTTGCGGCGTTAGGAAGGTTGATAACCACTGGTCTAAAGAATATATTAAAGATTATTTTATTTGCATTGAAATGGCAGTAAAAAACTGCCACCTGGTTTTATAAAAAGTTTTTAGGTCTGATGAACAGTGCTAAGAAATGAAAATCATAAAAGCAAACTTTCTATATTTTAGGTTTCTATTAAAGTAATAAGAAAACATTGCATATAAACAAAAATATGAATATACCCAAATAAATAGACATAATACTTAGTAAATAAGTAGAAAAATGTAGAGTTTTTTCTCTATGTACTCTATATTTACAGCACGTAACCGACCCTGTCATTCATAGTTTCTATTTTCACTTGGCTATTTTTTTTATGTGAGTTGATCAAATCTTTTCTCCTGGTGTCAAAATAACCATGTCATTCATAGTTTCTATTTTCACTTGGCTTTTTTTTTTTTTAATGTGAGTTGATCAAATCTTTTCTCCTGGTGTCAAAATCTGATTTGAATCTTAATAAAGTCATAAAGGTGATACAGTCTTTATTTTATAGAACAAATCTATTTTCTGAAATCTTATGTATGTGTATGTATGTGTGTGTGTGTGTGTGTGTGTGTGTACAGATACCCTGAACAAATACCTTCATTAATTGCATTGGAACATGAGTTAATTTAGAAGTCATTTTGCAAAGAAAGTAAATCTTAGAACTCAAAAACTCAAAGTAAGGATTCTTTGGTTATGCTCTACATAGATGAGGATAATTGATTATGTTCTAGGTGCTGCTCTGAGCACTGTAGATGAATAATGTCCTTCTGTGTTGAGTGACTGAGTTCTCTTATGACCCTGTATTATAGGGGAGGGGACAGAAGAGACACAGAGACGTTAAGAACTGTGTCCAGTATAACAGCCCAGCAGCAATGCTGGGGTCCAGGCCCGGGGGTCTGGCTCTAGAGCCCATTCCCTTAGCCATTCTGTTAAACTGCCTCTCAGACCCATGTACCCTGCTTCTTTCATGCACCCACTATTCTGTACAGCACTGGACATTGTTGTGAGGATACTAGTATTTTGTAATCTTTTTCTAATGAGAAAAGTGTTCATTTTTTTTATAAGGAGTTTCTTATGTTATCTGATATGATTAAGGAGCATGCAGGTTAGTTTTCAGAGTTGCATTCTTTATATGAAGGACTTATTTTTCCACCACTTACATTCTTGAATAGATGTTGCTATTGGAGCCCCACAGGAAGATGACTTGCGAGGCGCCATTTATATTTACAATGGTGGAGCAGATGGGATCTCATCGGCCTTCTCACAGGTAGGAGATGATTCCATTTTCAAAAGAAGCATTGGTAATAAAAGCTTCTTTAACATTTCCGGTGTTAATGAGACTCCTTTTTCTTAACTTGTTTGTTCAAAAACTTAACTATTCTATTTCACCATTTTTATCGCTGTAGTAGATGGTCTCATTTGTAAGAGTATTGATAAGTCTTTGGAACCATTTTCCCCCCATAAATAAGAGTTCTAGTTCACGTCCATCCTGGTTTGTCGTTAACCTATAAAGATTTCTCTCTGGATTTCATTAAATTCATGTTCTGAGGTAATATCTATACTATTCCAAATGAGCACATTTGGATTTGATTAACTATCATGTCTTGTAGCTAAAGCCCCATATTTCATGGAGATCACACAGAGAGAGCAAACACTCTCTATGTTACTCTGTGTTCTTTCAGTGCAAAGCAGTAAGCCGATAGCACTTTAATAAAGTTCCTGATCTAACTCTGACTTCACTTCTATAATCTGAAAAAATAGACCAGTTCAGGGCACAGAAAACAACTATATGCACATGCAGAGAAGAAAAGCTTTTCCAAAGACACTTTTATGAAAACATTAGCTAATACTGTAATTTCTGATTAGGCAAAAATAGGCATGTGGCTTTCTACATTTAACATGAAAGGCATGTGTTTGTCTAGTAAAAAATACTGATTTTCTAAGTCTGGATAGCAGCCTGATATTTATAAATCACTATCTAGACATGAAATGAGACACATAGAATAGGAAGCACAGGACTTGAGTTGTCCTTGTCAAATGCTACGATTCAGTCTGCTAACGGTGGCTTTCCTCATAAGCCTGAGTTGAGGGCTCCACTAAGTGACTAGCAATGTCTTATTTTCCAGATTACTTGTTTGGTTATTCATGCTGGTCAGGGAAATCAATATAGAACCAGAGAGAAGACTGGGGAGAGGGGTCAGGACCATTATAGGAGATCTGTGCTACATGATTTCCCTTTGCTCACAAAATAAAGCAATTTTTTTAGATGTCAACTGCCCAGGGAAAGCTGGAAAATTTTGTTTCTCTTAGATACAAGTGTTTGACTTAAGCTAAAATGTATTTTGCTCATAAATGTGCCAGGGCATGGGAAGGCTTTTTAACTAAATCACTGCTTCTCTAGGATAGAGGATATTCAAAAGCACTTCTCACTCAACTTACCTGTTTTTTAGAGAATTGAAGGGCTTCAAATCAGCAAATCCTTAAGTATGTTTGGACAGTCCATATCTGGGCAAATCGATGCAGATAATAATGGATATATGGGTGAGTATAAAATTTACCTTATTTTTTAGATTGGGATACGCTCTGTTGTGAATTCTATTTATTGAGAAATACATACATAAGAGAGTTCTGATTTACTGATAACTTTTTCCTTCATTTTTAAAGCTTTTTTGAATTCAAGGATGTCTCTGAAAAGGTTAAGTAATTCTTGAGCTTTACACTTAGTTATTTAACATTATTCTTTATTCTTTTTTAAAAATATATATATTTTATTGATTTTTTACAGAGAGGAAGGGAGAGAGATAGAGAGTTA